AATAAATCCATGCTGATTGCCCCTGAGCATCATTTCTGATGCCGGCCCATCACAAATGTGCTCCTTGATGATCTTCTCAAAGAGTTTCCCCAGGATTGAGGTAAGACTGACGGGCCTATAGTTACCCGGGTAACTAGTACCTTACTAGTACATATTTCACAAAATACTATATAGCATACAAAAAGCAGCATAAAGTGATTTATATATGGGCTAGATATGGATATAGGTTATTCTTTAACAAAATTTCAGGAAAAGAGATCAGTTTTGTTCTAAGCTACTTCCTAGCCCAATTTTTTTCCTCCAACAAAATGGTAGCCTTGACAACAAACACTGAGTAGTTTTAAAAACTGTACAATTCAGAGCAAAAGTGATGTTCGTCATAATAAAAATTTATAAAGTTTTGACAACAGGTTTGCTTCAAAATGGGGACTTTTTTTTCCCCAATGGAATACATGATATTTCTTCAACTAGTAAGAAAACTGTACCTATTTCTGCCACCATATTTACCCATCTTTTTATTTCTCTCCAGAATCTGAAACTGCAGAATCCATAAAACTAAATCATGTTGGCCAAAAAGTTGGTGACTGCACAGAAGCGAGGGGAAACCAGAGCATTATGCCTGGGACTGGGAATGGTTGCCTGCTCAATGGTGATGTACTTTTTTATTGGGATCACAATTGTGCCATTGTACACGAGTAGGTAATTATAGTCCTCTTTTATAAGTGCTATAAAGATTATGTCTTTTTATAAAGGCTATGTCTTTCCACTGTCAGCACGGGCATTGCTTTAAATAATGACCATATTCCAAATGTGTTAGGTATGTTATAGAACAAAAAAAGGATACCGTCTTAAAGAGGTTTTCAAGCTAATTTTACATCATGAGAGAACTGAGAAGAGTGAAGGTAATGAGTAACCCTGAAGAGTTCATGAAGTTCTAGTATTTACACAGAAACAGGAAGTCATCCTCTCAGGATTAGCATATGAGCTGTTTAGAGAGACATTCTCATTTTCTGTTAAAAATGCAAAAATATTTTTTTCAATATTTTTGTAGATTTCTTAATTTCACATTTTTCATTGAGAAACAAAAAACAGAGTTTTGTTAAATGGAAGTTTTAAGCTTTGAGTTTTCTTGTTTTTAAAAAAAGACATTACATTCAAAAATATTTAATTAAACAAAAATCAAATTGCTCTAACACAAAACCAAGACCATTGACAGCAAAAATTATAGTCCACAGTGCTGAATTTTTCCTCTCAATAATTCTATAATGAACTACTTCAACCTACTTGGGTAAAATGGCCCATTAAAAAAATCCAAGAATTAAAAACAGTACTACAAGATATGGATGCCACACAACTGCATTAGGCAATGTATTGAAGCTTTCACTAATGCATGAAAACTATATGGGTGTAGGTTGTAGCCGTGTTGGTCTAAGGACATAGTCAGACAAGGTTCTTTGTGTGAATCTTGTATGCATACCAGCCCAGCCTCTGGCTTCTTTACTTTTCATTCCATCCAGGAAGAGCACACACCAGCTGCAGAAATTTCCAAAGCCTGATGAAGGGTTTTTGAACCCGAAAGCTTGCTTAATAATTGTTTTCCAACTATTTAAGTTGGTCTAATAAAAGATATCAGATTCACCCAAAGAACCTTGTCTGCCTATGAAAACTATATGTGCACCTCATACTTCAAAAGAAATATCTACAACATTATTAACCATACAAAATCCTATTTTTCCAGTGTTGTTTCAGAGAAGCTAACTTCAAATATTTCTGTGTATGTGGTTATAAATTTTCCCTCAACCTACAGAGGACATAGCTAATGGATAAACACAAAACCCAGTCAATCCTGCACTGATAATAAACCTTTTCCAACCTGCTTCAACTCGCCAGTTTTCTACCCTAGCACTCTCTCCATGCCCCCACCTACAACCCTGTTCACAGTGCTGATTATTTAACAACACACAAAGCACCAACATGGCAATCTGGAAAAATTGACTATAGCACTTGCTGGAATCAGATGAAAGAGCAGAGAAGCTGTAGACAAGGATTTCAAAGCAATGCTATTTGTTTTGGTTTTGTAGTGTTTGGACAAAAAATACTACGTGCAAGGTGCTGAAAACAAACATCAAGGAGAAAGTCGATTGTTCATGCTGTGAAGAAGCAAATGACAGTTATCCTTGTCTGGAAGTCTGGGTCAACTTGAACTTCTCAGGACAAGAGGTTATGCTATATCATACAGAAGACACATGGAGAAGAAATCGCAAGGTACTTTGAAATTAACAGGGGGGAGACTCTGATGGATAAATGTGATCTTTATTACCTTTAATTAATCAATTGTTTCTTTTCTTTTCTTAAAAAAAAAAAAAAAAAATCAAGCAAAGCAGTTGGGAACGAAGAGAAAGTAGAACACAGAGTTGTTAGACTTTCTTCATACCAGTGCTTGCTCTTAGCCCACAGGAAATGTTAAAATACTCAGAATGAATATGAATTTGGTATTTATTATAAATGTCATATCAGACATTAAGATATTTGCTAAGCAATGACATGAACTAAAATGAATATTAAATATTTATAAGATTTTAAAATATATATAAGTCTCTACAAGTTGAAGCAAAACACAGAGCAATAACTCAACATCTGTTTGCTGGAGGTTTGTTGAATAACTATGTGAAAGCCTGAGGTTAAATATAGCCCTGATGAAGAACAGGGGCCCCACTTGACTCCCAGTTCAGGGGCATGGGAAATGAGACAGGGAATGGAAGGAAGAAAAGTGGAGTCATAGTGCTGGAGGGGGCGGACGAACAAGAAACACCAAACCTACTAGTGTATTTGAGGTGGAAGGTTGAATGGAATAATTAAATTGAGGCTGGCATGCAAGGGCATCAAATTGAGCCACTGGGTTTATTTTTTGGCTTAGCTGCAACTGGCTTCTGAGAGAAGCAACAGCCCAGTACTCCAGCATCCCAGGATGCTTTGCTTATGCCCCCACTCCCCTTCCCCTTTCAGAATGTTACTCACTGGACCCTCCTGCTCCAACTGAGCAAGGAGCAAAACATGCCACCTTCACAGTCTTACACTATTCAGAGTCAGCCTATGTCTCCCTAACGCACAGTCTGGGGCAGCCCATAGGACTGCCATCTATCTCCAGACAGACTGAGGGAGCCTGAAGTGCATGCTGAAATGTGTGCATAGCGGTCCCTGGCTGTGCAGTATCAGCACTACAATCACTCTGCTCTTCAAGAGCTCAGCACTTAACTGTCTGTTTAGGTATCTCCAGATAAGTTTTTTTACTAGGAAAAGAAACCTGGGAAAATTCTCCCAGATCATTTGCATGTGTGTACATAGCCTAAGTCCAGCCAATATCACAATGAAGTCATGGTCTTGGCAACACCTTTGGACATGATAGCAGTGCTGCTGAAGCCATACTCTGATTCTGTGCAAGAGGCTGCCTGGCATGATGGTTCATCTTTCTGAGCCAAGTCTATAGCAGGATCACAGTAACTCGAAACTCAGAGTTAATTAAAATGAACTCTCACCTCTCAAGGCAAAGCCATTAACTAGAACACCCAGATGCAAATATTCTATCCAAGCTAGAGCTTAGAAAGTTGTTACTTCTACTGCTCCTCCATAAATAATGGGCAGTTTAATGACAAAGGGCAATTTTCTGTGAAAAAATATCACATCTACTTGACACAAAACCTTGTACAAGAGCACATACATTACATTTGCATCTTCTGGCAGAAGACTGTTTTCATTTAGGAACAAAACTGTATTCAACACTTGAACAGCAAGATTTCACACTGCATTTAATTTCTGAACATACACTGAACTGTTGCATGCATACCAGGTGAACACTGATGGTCTCACTCAGCAAATTTTGTCTTATTAAGATAAAATAATGTATTCCCTCTGAGGAAGCAAGCAAAAAAGTATGGCATGTGAATGTCAGCATCTTGCTATACAAGAGATGAATGGTGTGCCATTCTTGTGTAATGACTCACATCTGATCTTTACTTGAGATGGAAGAATAAGTATACCCCTGTAGTAACAGTGTCTTGAATCAGTTATGGAGCTCTGTAGTCACTTTGATAAGAAACCATCTATTAGAATGGGTTACAGGTGGAGAGGGGATTAACAAAACAGTTTGGTTAACTTTTCCCTGAAAATGCAGCCCTTCAGTTTTTATATTATATATAAAATAGCTACTATATTTAACATTTATATAAAAGTTTCTTACTAGACCAATATTTATGTTTTTTCCCTAAATTTGAGATAGCTTTAGGAGTTCAAGAGTAAAAGCACAAAGTAAACACATAAAACCTCCAAATTTAGGAAAAATCTTCCTCACTAATAAACAGGCCTCATAAAAATCACAACTCAGATTTGTGCAAACAGCTTTTATTTTAACCAATCCACTTTGATAGTCCCTAACAAAAGATGCGTAATAAGCATTTTGGACCTGAAAAGAAATGCATCAATCTAGACAAATTTAGCTTGCAAGCACAGTTCGTTTCAAACTTTCCTCCAAGAGCAATGGATACATTTTACACTTTTAAAAAATACACTGTTACACACTACTTAACCAAAAGGAAAGTTTGATATGGTGACTGATCACTGCTCTCTCTCTTTGCACATTAACCTGCAGGAGCAAGATGAGCTTTTGGATTTTTCTGAGTCAAGACCATGGTTCTTGCTCTGCCACTGTGCCTGTTTGGGTTGGGTGTCCAACTTTACCTGTATGGCACTCCATTTCCCTTCCCAATTATTATCTGCATCTGATTGCAAGCCCTTTATTGCCATGCCTGCACATATGTTCAGTGCCTAGCATACAGAGACTCTAATCTCAATTTGGGCTATGTAGTATTATCATGGAAGTAGGCTTGGCTGGATCCAATTTTTATCGATAAACATAATTTCACCTGTCAGTCACACACCACCAGAAAAATATTTCCTCCTGTAATAATAGAAATTTACAGAAAAGAGATGTAAAATAAAAAGCATCTGGGATGGGGGTAAGGAAATCCAGGGCAGAGGGTGCCATGCATACACACACTCTCTTACACACACATGCACACACAAGACACAAACACATAGAGTGGCCACGCAGCCTAGGGCGGGAAGCAGCTCCCCAGTTCCTGTGACCCCTAAGGGCCCGAGTCCCACCTGGCAGGCATTGGTGGAGGGGCAGCATGGCCCTTTGATGGCCATGGCCTCCTGTCCCTCCAGGCAGCATGGGGGCATCAGGTATGCCTTGGGGGCACCTCTGTGTACCCTGCCCTGATCACACTGCCTTTCCCTGTGTTCCTAGAGCTCCTAACCGGCCTCGCCCCTGCATGCTAGGGGCAAGGCACATGGGAGTGCCTCTGGAGCCCAGCCATTGCCACTGTGCTGCCCAGAGGGGTGAGAGGCCCTTAAAGGGACAGGCTGCCCCTCTGTTGAGGCCCACTACGCAGGGCTTGCCCCCTAAGGAGCTGCAGGAAGCAGGGAGCTGCTTTCCGTCCTGGGCTGGTGGCAGCTGCCTCTCCCTGCCTTATAAGCGCTCTGGAGTGCTGCTGCTCTTCTCTTCTGGTCCCTGCCCACCCAGCTTTTTCCTGATGAACGAACAGAATGATTTAAAGCAGGTGTGCTTTACTGATTTATGGATATTTACTTTTATATAGTTTAACATGATTTCATAAAGCCTTTAACAGTATACTGTCATTACGAAAGTGTCTTCTCCCCACACTCCTCATTTTGTGCTATCCTGAAAACAAATCTATAAACAGCAAGAAAATATAAAGAAATGCTTAAAATAAACATCAATTTTAGCCATCAACATTGTATAAAAAAAATAATCAAATTCTGCCAAGTCTACATATAAGCAAAATAATACCTGGTACTTTCCTACAAGAAAGCTACCAAATTTGTGTATACACTACCTCCCTGAAAAACAGGTAAATAGAGTTCTTACATATTGACTTCCACTGCAGACAGCAGTGGGAACACCTGATAATTTGGGCCAGCTGCCCATAATGTATTAACCTTTTCTTCACTGATTATAGCTAGGAGCTCACATTGGAGGAACTCAAAGTGGCAGTATGCTCTTAGTCGATTTGGATTCTGCCTACTTCAACACTTAAGGTACATGCTACAGTATAGCAACAACAGACTACACTTTGTCTCTGAATGCAATCTCAGCAGTGGTGTCCTTTTTTCATTAGTCAACACTGGTCACACATATGTAAGTCTTTGCAGGATAAGGGCCTAATATATCAAGGGATAACCAGTGAATATGGCAATTCAAGTATTGTTACCTTATGTATCCCCTAAGACAATATTTAGAAATCCTCTCAAGTCTACACAGGTTTTTGTCTGTAGTAGAAAATTACATTTTAAGAAAGGTCTTGCTTCACGGCATGAACAACTGTTGTAACAATTGTTTTGCTTTCTCATTGCAGTGCTCATACATCCCCACAAAGAAGGAGACCGCCAAAGAAGTTAAACAATTAATAGAGACCATTGCAGAAAATTTCAGAAGGTATCAGACTTTTCCTTGTTATTGTGACCCAGAAGGAAAACAGACAAGCGTCATTTATAGTAAACTATATCAACTAAAAGACCTACCTTTCGCTTTCCTCTGGCCTAGTCTCATGTTAACTGGTGGAATTCTGATTGTTGTCATGGTGAAAGTCAATCAATACATGTCTGTATTTTCTGCCTGGCAGTACAAAACAAACATATAACCTTCACAAATTCAAGCTAGAAAGTGCCTCTATCCCACCCACTTCAGTCTGTATTTTGTTTTTTAAAAACACTCCATCACGTTAGCTACTGTCACTCACTATAATATATACACATACACTTACACCATGGGTTATCAGGAATTATATATGAAGTAGAATAGGTATCTGAGATGAAATCCCATGAAATATATAGGGCCCACTCTAAAAGAACAAAAATGATTTTATTTTGCTTGAGCCAATTCTTTTTGTGGGTTTGAAACATCATTGTTTTATACAAATTAGAATTAAAATTATATATGCCAGTTTGCTGGTTACAAATTTGGTGTCAGATTTTCAGAAAGCAGAGGCTAGGTATCCAAGGGCCTGTCTATATGTGCGTTTAAGTGCAACTAAATTTAATGCTCATTCAGCTAATGTACATTAAGCGATTTTTGGCAGGTGGCTACACGTGCAGAGCCTTGGCATTAAAGTTAGTGCCAAGTCCCTGCAACCCTGCCATGTGCTTCTAGTAGCTGGGCAGACCCGGCAATAAAGTTTGTGCCGGGTCATGTCTACATATATGTTAATATGCTTTAACTAATCATGCCTAAATCTGCTACCTGCATTTGCAGATGTCTCTTTCCATGTCTAACTCGCATATTACGTAGAATGATACTGTGGCAGGGCACTGGTGGTGCCTGCCACTTTAAGTGCTGAGCCATACAGCCAACAGGTGCTTGATTACAGCAGCCATTTTAGAACTTTGGCCACCTATATAAACAGAGCAGTTTATATTGTTGCAGAAACATCGCCTAGCTGCAAGGCTGTATGCAACATCTCGGAGGTAAGGGCAGGAGCTTAGGTCCCGGGCATGACCTAAAACTGCACCCTGCTGGGGATGGGTAGCCTGGTAGGGCTCCTAGTGGTGCAGGAGTCCCCTGGAAATGCCAGGCAATGGACCACCCCGGTGAAAGGTGGGTCGGGGCGCTTTAACCCCAGCTCCCACAACCAGGTGGGTTACCCCATAGTAGGGCCAAGGAGGTGGACACATGTTAGAGAGTGGGCTAGAGGCTCAGAATCCTGACTTCAAACACCCTTGACTGGTCAATGCTGGGACCAGGACCAGAAGGGTCAAAAGGGCAAGAGGCCCACTGAGAGGGATGCCCAGAGCTAAGGGCCTGGGGTTCCGACTGGCCTTGGCGGTGAGGCCAGGCTCAAAAGAGGGAAGAGTTCAGGGAGCTAGGTAGCCCAGAATGAGGGCAGAGTAGACCGCCTGATTGGAGGGATCTGGTTGGGGTCTGGACTGGAGGATTATGGGACCCAGGGTGGGGCCGGTGACATTAAGAACTGCAGATGCCATGTACGAGGCTTGGGCTGCGGTGTAAGGGAGGAATGGAGCCACAGATAGTGCCCCCTGGCATCAGGGCAAGAATGGGCAGCCTCCCACCTAATTAACAACATAATTATGTATCATCAAGGCATGGCAGGAAAGGAGATGGGTGGTTGGCCCAGAAACAGGTGGGTAGGTCAATGACAGACCAGCCCCAAGAAAGCCCCCTGTTACAGATACCTTTTCATCTGTATCCAACATATTATATAAAAAAGTGAAGGAGACAAAAATGTAAAAAGCATGATTACATTGTGAAAACACTAGGAGTATTCACACATGCAGGCATACAGAAGCAGTGCAAATTTGAGCCAGGACTTTTTGCCTCAGCACATGTGCCCAGACATGCACTTTTGTGTGGTGCAAGTTGTGCCACCTGGGGCAAAATAACCCTGCCCAGCTCCTCCCGGATCTACAGCCAAGAAATCTAGAGCTGCTGGCCCCAGCACTATAAAAAGCTGCCCTGTCCTGGTCCCATCAGTACAAAAAGCAGCCTTGGCAAGTAGCTCAGGGCTACTCGCTCTCAGGAGCTTCTGGGGCCTGGCCAATTGGTACCTGGTGTCACTACCCTTTGTGCCAGCTGGACTGCTGAAGCAGCCCTGAGAGTTCCCTGCACCCTCCACCCACTGCAGCAGTCTGGCAGTGGGGGCTGCTGCCTGGCTGTGACCTGCTGCCACCTGCAACAGCATGTGGCCCCAAGGCTGTGCACCTGCCAGACCTGGATGGGGACTGCACAACTGCAGCAGAGGCATCTGCACCTCTGGGCCAGCTGCTAGTGGGCTCTGACTGCACGGCTGGCCTTTGTGTGGCACTGCTGCCATGTGTGCCACCACCTTACCATCTGGGCAGCTACTGCTCGGAAGATGTTCTCAGTGTGGTGGCCTGCTTTGAACTGTCAAAGCATGTCCTTCTGGCCCCAATTGGCCAGGAGGTTAGCCACCTCCAGCTGGGACCTGGGTGCCAGCTCTGAGCTGGCACCTCTGCCTGGGTCCTGCCACTTGCCTCTCCAACAGAAATTCTGGTGATCCCTATTTGAAAACTGAAAAATCCCTGATAAAAAAAAATATATAAGTCACTCTGTAAAATACCTCCAAATTCCTGTTCCTCCACAGTTAAAACAAAGGACCACTATATACAGAGAGAGAGAGAGAGAGAGAGAGAAAGACAGGCAGACAGAGAGACAGCAATCAGGTGGGCAATGTTCTTTGATATATCTACAGTGTTAAACAATTTGGAAATCTACCAGTACCTCTATCATGATAATGAAATTAATTTTAAATATCTTTACGTTTGTATTTACCTTTGGTTCTCTCATCATAGAGCAGTTAGAGCTCCCCCTGACTCCTTCACTAACCAGGATGTGAGGACAGCTTCCTCTGCAGCCACAGCTCCTGCCAGCAGGTCTCATCCTGTCCAGCAGCTGGGCATGCAGGGTGTGTGCTGGGGGCATGTGGTGTTTGCAGGAGGGAGGTGGGAAGGGGGTTGGGTGATGTAGGTGGCTGTGGAGGGATGTGTGGAGCCATGGGGTGTCTGGGTAGGTTTGAGTGGATTGGGGAGACTGTGGAGGGGCTGCTCAGGAGAAGTGGGTCCCCTGGTCCCCACAGGTAACAGCACCCCCTGCACAGCTCACAGACTGTCCCCCAAACAAGGGCTACAGCCCCCCCCCCGCAGGGGCTACTACCCCCCCGAAGAGCCCATGTGCCCACCCATCTGGCCCCACCCCCTGCTTGCTCCCCCAGCCCCCTGGATCACTGCCGCACCTGACCCCACTCCTGCCCACTCCCCCAGTCCCCTGATGGCTGTTCTGCCTGGCCCCATCCCCCACCCACTTCCCCAGCCCTGGATCACTGTCCCGCCCAGACCCATCTCCCGCCAGCTCCCAAGGCCTCCCGATGGCTGTCCAGCCTGGCTCTAGGGTCCTGGCACTCCAGAGACCCCAACCGCCATTCCTACAGCTGGCAATTGCAAGGGGTTTTTTTGGGTTTTTTGTTTTCTTTTTATGTGCTGGGAGGCTAGGGCCGGGTGGGCAGCCATTGAGGGGACTGGGGGAGCAGGTGGAGAATGGCACCAGGTGGGGCAGCAATCTAGGCAGCTGGGGGAGTGGGTGGGGGATGGAGCTGGCACGGGTCCCGCCCTGGTCTCCTCCCCCCACCTCCTCCTACTGACCTGAGCCTCTGTTTCCTCAAGACACATGGGGGGACCATTCCCTGCCCCACTTTTTTTTGCCCGGGGTATTTTTTGACCCCTGGATATCCCAGGGTATAATTTGCAGTGCACATAACATTTTTTTGTTCCTGCATGTGTTTCTTGCAGCATGTCAAAGGGTTCTGAGATACTGCAAGAGGCATGTGCATACTTATCTGGATGCACACATTAAGTCTGTTGTTTGATCCATGATGCTACAGGAAAGGAGTACAGTAAGTTTATGCCACCAGAAATGCTCAGGAGAGAACATGACTTGGATACAATTTAGTAGCAAAGAAAGTTCTGAGTAGCATGAATACTTCTGGGATTTCTCTGAGCTTCAGAAACACTGACTGTCCTCTGAAAATGCCTTTGTTTTTCTCAGTTCAGTTTCAAATCCACTACAGGGTCAATTGGAAATACAGAGACATTTCACGTGCATTGTATTTGACCATCATTTGGGACATGAACACCACATGCCCTTTCATTATATAGTTTGCGAACAGACTTCTCAGCAGCTATCATTTATGAGGAAAAGTTTCAGAGCAGTACTGCAGATTTAAATCTATTCTAGCCCCCACAGGAAACAAGTCTGTTCTCAGATGTGTAAAAAGCTCTACTGTTTTCTGAGAGAGAGACAAGATGAATGCTGAAATAATGGAAATAAATTCTCCAAACCTTATAATCTGTTAAATGTATTTCCTGTTCTCAGTGGAGGAGTGACAAGCCAACATACATTGGAAAGAAGCAACAGAAAACTTCATGCATGCCTAGGATACTAGTGCGAAACCAGAGCAAGTGACTATCAAGTATGGATGGTTAGGATCAGTAGATCTTTGCTCAACATAACCCTAATGACCTGAATTTCTCCTAAAAGCTGGGGGCTAATAAGTTGGGAGTGACAAAAAGGGGAAGAACTAAGTATATTAGTCAATAACAAAATGCTTGTGAGCCACCTGCTCAGGGTGCATCCCGATGAGCATGCACATGCTGTTTGTGGTGCCTCAAAGCAGTTTGCACACATGCACCCATTCACCAAAATGCTAATTTGCAGCATGACGGGGGGGAGGGGTTAACATTGGGAGGTCCCAGTGTAAACAAACCAAACAAAAAACTGACGCTGAAAAAAGTGTTGTGGTGCACATGGCAGCAGCATGCACCACCAGAAATGGAGCCTGGTCAGCCAAAGCCAAGCTCTGGCTGCTGGCCAGACTCCGAGCAACCAGCTTGGCACCAATGCTGCCCCAGAAAGCCTGCAGGTAAGGCTTCTGGGGCTAGCACAGGTGCTGGCCCCAGCCTTCCCTACCCCACCCAGGTCACTTTGCTGTAAAAATGGTGGATCACCCTCTAAGTTAACCCTCAGTAGATGTACTATCAGACTAAAGTGCTTTAGGTTAGAGTGCTTTTTTGAACACCTGTGTTTGATCCACCACATGTTAAGCTAAGTTGTATTTGCCAGCATCCCAGAAGCCCCTTGAAGGGTGCCATGTT